GCGACAGAAACCGGGCTGGCCCGGCTGAGCCCCAGGCCTGGCAGCTCCTCATGGCCACCCCGCACTGCACGGCACCACTGCAGCAACCTGGGGCTGTGCTGGTGGCCGTTTTGGTGGGGGTGGCTCAGCTTGGGAGCCCCGGTGGCTACGGGCATTTCTGGGGCTCTGCTCCAGGCAGAGATGGACCTGATGGCCCAGGAGGGGAAACAACCGCAGCCCGCAGTGGGTGTGTGGGACGGGATGGGGACATCCTCCTCTGGGGAGGCAGGGGAAAAGTTAAAGCAGAAAAGGTCACTTTGGGATGGCAGCTTTGCTTGGAAAGCAGTCAGCAGCAAAATGTTAAGCCCTTACTTTCTTACTTTCTACTGTTCTCTTACTAAAAAAATATATCCTTTAGCTAAATAAAAGCCTGCTCACTGACAGCGAGCTGGGGCCGTGCAAGGCACAGCAGACAGACGATGCTGCCGACAGCGGGGATGTCTGCAGGCACCTGGGGGACAAATCCCTGCTCCCGTCGTGTGCTCAGAGAGGAGCTGGCAGGGCAGGGAGCACCCTGCACACACAGGGATTGCCCTGCCTGGGCCTGGGGATCCCTGAGTGCTCATTACCGGTGCTCAGCCAAGAGAAAAAAATGGGAAAAAAAATAAACAAAGCAAGGAAGCAAAAAAATAATAATAAAACAAAAAGCCAGCAAGGTGCGGCTTGGCAGCACATCCCACTTGAAGGGCACGGCTGCTGTCAGAGAAAGCCATCTCTGCCCACGCCGCTGCCGCAGGAGCCTCCCAGCGTGACCGCACCTGGGCAATAAACCCCAAGCGAAGCCGCCAGGAGCGGCCAGACTGGCTCCCTCGCAGCATCCCTCCCATCCTGGGCCTCAAGCAGCCCTCCCGTGGGGAAGAGGAGACCCTGGCCCACCTCGGGAGCCCGCCAGCAAACACCACGCCAGAGAGACCCCCGGCTCTTACGTTGGCCACGTCCACTGTTTTATAGCGGGGATCCTTCTGCGTCGGGCTCTGCGCTGCAACATCCACCGCGTTCTCATCCACCGGCTCGGGGAGGCTCTGGAAGGAGAAGGAAAGCCCCGCGGTGAAGCACGGGTGGCAGACGTGGCTGGGGACAGCGGTGGCTGTGCCACCCAGGGGTACGGGCAGAGCAAGCTCACGCCTGCCCGCTAAATAAATAAGTGGGGAAATATCTGATGAATTTAAGACAGGCAGTTCCTGCAGAGCAAGTTTCTGAGGGATGCAGCCAGCAGAGAGCCACGCCGCCCTTGGAACCATGCACCGAGTATCGTCAGCTTCCGCCTTTTTGGAAAC